CAGAATCATTTTTTAATAACATAATTGATATACTGACGAAGTTTCAATAAAATCCTAACCTAAAATTTCGAGTTGTTCGAATGTACATCATTTTGTTCAAACAACTCGAAATTTTAGGTTAGGATTTTATTGAAACTTCGTCAGTACATCAATTATGTCATTTAAAAAATTATTCTGAAAATTTTATTACAATCTCTGCGATGAGATTCGAGAAAATTAACTTTGAAGAAAAATGAAGGTGTTTTTATTTTGCATCGCTTATCCAAATGGCTCCGCTTTTTGGCAAATTAATTTATCAACAAGAATGATAAATAATCACTGCYAATTCTGTCAAAATTTGAGTGCAATGGAATCGAAATTTGCGACGTAATTGAAGTTTAAAAATACGCGCGAAACGCTATTTATTACGATCGAAACACTTTAAATAATACTTGTTAAACTCATGAATAAGTAATGAGAAAAACACAATAGAAATCACAACCGTGAAGAATGTTAATATAATTTCAGTCCTTTATAGTAAGAAAGATTAATAATTCATTTGGTACTTGTATTTAAGGTCAGTTGATGAACAAGGGGCCATTTCATTGCGCATGCACGATACGCTTGAGCTACCTTGGTCACAGCACTGTTTCGCATCTCGTTCTCGGTCGAGATGTTTACATAATTTACGTTCAGSAAAATTCGCTTTTTCATTCTTCAACAACTAATTGATTAGGTTCAAACGTCAAGTCTAGTATCGAATATGTGTTGAAAGTCTTATTCAAGTTAAATTTCTGGAGTATATCTGGTTAAAATATGGTGAAATATCATACAGGGTGACTGACTCGGAGAAGATAAAATGGCGACCTAAATGTGGTCAAAACCATACTTTGTCGTTGGTTTATCTTGGGAARCAAGACGCTCTGGTGCCTGTTCTTATAGCCATGTAAATTGGATGCTATTTGTACTTTATGACAACATTTTGTTTTGAAATCGTTTTCAATTAAAGCGGCAAGATTCACACAGCCTTTATGCGATAATTGTTAAATTCGCGCTTTTTGACATTTTTCATCAGTGAAATATTATTAAATCTAGTGAAAATACCAATGCGAACCAAGCAGAAATGATTATAATCGTATGTATTGATA